TGTGTGCAACAGTATGGATATAGTGAATATACGTTACCGATACATGCGGTATTCTCTTTCGCCGTGCTCTTCTCGGTTTTTTCACGGACGCAGCCCATTGACTGTCCGTTTCGCCGTTCTTCTTTCCCTCTGTTGTTTTCCGGATTAGTTCTACTGGAATTATCACTTTTCGTAGTTATTTCTTCTGGTTCTTTGGTCTTCGAGGTGTTGTTTGGTCGGCGAGCGCCGATAATTCCTTCCTTACTCTTTTGCGCGTCGAACTGAAATTCAGAGGTAGGTGGATTAGAAATTACAGGAAACGGGTGTGTATGTGTGCGCGCCGCGCGTGCTGTGTGTGTGTGTGTGTGTGTGTGTGTGTGTGTGTGTGCGTGTGTGTGTGTGTGTGTATATATGTGCGTGTGTGTATTTTTGCATATGCGCCTTTCAAGTTTCAGTAAAAAGTGACATTCTTCGCTAACCGAAGACATCTTTGCTCACTCACAGCGCCCTCTACCGCCCCCGACGCACTCACGTACCTCCTCTGCCGACTGCGTGTATAGTTGCGACACGCTCATAGACTCCTTGGTCTCCGCCTTCCGATTGCCCGTGACGTCACCGTTTCGCGGTGACGTAACCACCACGACGTCGTCCGGCGGTTTCGGTGACGTCACCAGCACGACGTCGTCGGCAAGCGTCGGCGTCATGACGTCATTCGCCGGCATCGGCGTCGTCACTATGACGACGTCGTCCTGTGACGTCGGCGTCGTCACCGTGACGACCTGCTCCGACGTTTTTCGTGTTTTTACGGTGACGATGTCGTCGGCGGCTCTCCCAACAGTCGGCTTCGCGTCGGCTGCGCGCGCGTCGGGTACGGACTTCTTCCGAGCAAACAGACGCAGGAACTTGGCCGAGCGTGAGGAGAGTTTTCGCGTGACGGGAGGCGGTGCGTCGGCGACGTGCGGCGTGACGACGTTGACGACGTCGTCGGCGCTCAGACTCTGCTTCACGGACGACGCGTTGACGGTGACGACATTGCCGTTGTCGACGTTGTCGCCGCGCGACGTGACCCGTCGTCCGTCGCCGCTCGAGAGTGCGTCGTAGCTTCTGGAGGCGGTCACAGTGCAGTTGCTGAAGACGCTCACTGCTTCGTTTTCGCGGATTTCCTCGAACGCCGCCGTGTACTGCTGCTTGCGTCCCCCACCGAAATGGTTTTCACTATCGTCATCGTCGCCGCCGCCATCGTCGTCGTCGTCGTCGAAGAACGGGTTGTATAACTTGTTGTAGATGGCGCTGTCTAAATACGCCAGCTTTGTTCTGCGACCGTGCGCGTCGCCCGACATTTTTTGTTACCGGAGAGTCTGTTATGACACGATGAGATGCGCTATACCTGCCGCGCTGTTTTACGTGTGGCCCTTCGTCATCAACGCCGCTCCACGGCTAGTCAAAATCACCGTGCGTAATCCCGTGCGTGACAAGTGGCGCCGCGTGGCGGGCGTCGAGAGCCGCGGTTACAAGGCCGTATAGCCGTCACGGTCGCAACGCACGCAGACGCGTAGTTAGTTATAGGGAGCCTACGGCTGCAGTTTGTAGCCGCTGTCTCGGTTCGTGGGAGCGACTCCCTCACGCTGCACATGCAGCTAAGCAATTACGGCCCTGTTAGTAGAAAAATATGTATACATGCACGAGTGAACGGAAATTGGGTAAAATTGCACGTCGGCACATGGAATCGAAAGCGCGCGACTGGCATTACTGTATTTACGGACCTCTGTTATATGTATTTACGGAAATCTGTTTTTCCTCCCGGGCCTGAACGTCGTCCGTTTACGCCAAGTTTACTTCTTTACAAGTTTCTAATCATCCGTAACGATCCTATATAGGCTATTTAGTAGCTAGCCACCCGCTTCTATCTAGCTAGAGCTGCCCTCTTTTTCTAAGATTTACTCACTAAACGACCTCGGGGCGTTTCAAAACACCCCAAGCTTGTGGGTTTTTACTCATTTTTTAGCGCATATATTAGATTTTCGCCAATACGCGCACAAACAGCGCACGCACAACGCCATGAATAGGATCGTCGATTGGAACCCCTCCGCGTAATTGGCCGATGGAACGTCGACTACTTATTTTCCAGGTAAAAATACCGAAAGAGTTCGATACTCGAAAAATATCCGAAAAAAAATTATTTTATTATTTTTTTTCCGTCACTATCATTTATCAAACGTATTATATGACGCTGTTCATTTGAAAACATGAATAACCGGATTCCGGTTGGACCGGCGCGATTGCTGGAGATTGGCGTCACTGCCGGTAATTCTTTGGCTAAGAACGCGGGATTGTGTGACCT